TTTGCCTAGAACCCCAACTATGTATGTGTACATACTTGAGAATACAACAAACTCCCTATAGCTGATAAATAGGAAATGTTATGCATTTCCTCAATTTTCAAATTCCCCTTTGACCACTAATTGAGACTAAACTTGTCTCCCTTAGCAACTGGAGTATCCCCGGATTTACATTCATGCATGCCAAACCTTTTAATAATTTTTTTTCGATATAGCTCCTTTGTGATAATCCTAAAATACCCAAACATCGATCTCGGTATATCTAAATTCCTAATACAAAAGGCACATCACCAAGATCTTTCATTTCAAAATTCTTTGATAAAAATTTCTTGGTTTCGTGCAATATGCCTATATCATTAGTGACAAGTAGAATGTCATCAACATACAAGATCAGGAAAATATACTTACTCCCCTTAAACTTGTGATATACACAATCATCAGCAATATTCATCTCGAAGCCAAATGAGAGAATTATTTGATGAAATTTGTAGTACCATTGACGAGATACTTGTTCTAGTCCATAAATGAAGTTTGTCAGTTTGCAAACCATATTCTTTGAATCTCCCTGCACAAAATTTTCTGATTGTACCATATAAATCGTCTCATCAATGTTGCCATTGAAAAACTCCGTCTTGACATCCATTTGATGAAGCTCCAAATCATAATGTGTTACAAGTGTCATGACTGTCCTAAAAGATTCTTTCGATGAAATTGGAGAGAAAGTCTCTTTAAAGTCAATCCCTTCCTTTTAGGTATAGCCCTTAGCTACCAGACGAGCCTTATATCTTTTCACATTACCTTTAGAATCTCATTTGGTCTTAAATATCCACTTGCAACCAATGAGTTTCATACCTTCTGGTAATGGGACAAGTTCTCAAACTTTGTTATCTTGCATGGACTTATATTCCTCCTTCATTGCTTCAATCCACTTTTCAGAGTTAGAACCTTGCATAGCTTGACGGAAGTTAATTGGGTCATCTTCCATCATACCATTATTTTCCTCATGTTCCTTAAGAAATACCATGTAATTATCCGAAATAACACTTCTTTTTTCTCTAGTGGATCTCCGCAAAGTTATTGGCTCATGATGCACAGGTTCTTGAGGATTTTGAGTTTGTTCTTCATGAACAACCAAAAATCATCTTGAGTAAGGGGTTCATTAATAATGCCTTGTGGAGGTTCCGAACTTACTTTATCAAAAGTAACTGTTTGAATCGGTTTTGGAATCATTATCGATTCTTCCTGCAAGACAAAGTTCCTAATTTTATTATTCCCCCCAAACTCAATATCCTCAAAGAACGTAGCAGTTCCCATCTCAAAAATTGTCTTTAATGTGGGATCATAAAATTTATATCCCCTGGATCTTTCAGCATAACCAATAAAATAACTACTTACTGTTCAGGAGTCCAATTTCTTTTCATTTGGCTTATAAGGCCTTGCCTCAGCTGGACAACCCTACTCACGGAATTGCTTTAGACTAGGTTGTTGCCCAGTCCAAAGCTCATTATGTGTTTTTGTTGCTGCTTTAGTTGATACTCTGTTTAGAATATAAGTTGTCGTCTTTAGTGCCTCTCCCCAGAGTGACTCCAGTAAGGTGGAATGACAAATCATACTCCTGACCATATCTTTAAGAGTGTAACACAAGCCCAAGCGCCACGATTAGATTGTGACCTGAGCACCTGTGCCATAATGAACCTAAGTGAGTATTGTCAATTTTACGTTTAGTACCCCGTGATTCTGTATTAAGAGTTTCATTATAGGTGGCCACAGTATCAAATAAATACAGATTATTATAAACCAAAAGTGAACCAGTTCCAACAATATTTGAATTAAAAGATAAACTGAACTTATTGTTTCCAAATGAACACAAATAACCTAATTTGTCCAAATAAGAAACTGAAACAAAATTTCATCTAAATGACGGCACAACAAAAGTGTTTTTCAAATCCAAATAAAAACCAGTACTCAATAACAATTTAAAATGCCCTATAACTTCTACCTCTACTGATTTGTCATCTCCAACATATATTCATCTTTCATAATCAATTAACTTTCGGTAGCTTAGACAACCCTTCATAGAAACACTGATGTTAGTAGTTGCACCTAAGTGTAACCCCCAAGTATTACTAGGTACTGACGCTAAATTGACTTTAGAACAGACTAAAGTATGAAACATACTTTTGAGGATCAGATCATAATTTAAATTGGCAGATACAAAAGTAATTGTAGTTGAATTAAGAACAAGAGAAATAAATTAATTATGCTCACATTATAAAAATAAATAATTATAAATAAAATATATATTCAAATAATGGTTTAACCCATTTAAAGACACCCAATGAATGCATCATCAATATCAAGTCTTTGGACAAGTAATATTAACTGCTAGAGATATCTTGTTGTAATAATCAAACATTGACAATAAAGCATGTCCAATAACAAACCAGTTTTTGGATTGATTTATTATCGACAAAGCAAATCCTTATAATTATCACATGTTTATCATTACAAGTGTGTATGCAATTCGACCAAATATTAATCTTCATTTGGGCCGACTAATACTCGCATGAATATACACAAACACTAACATTCAATATTTTTCACGAACTACCCAATTCAAGAGGGATTACTTTGGTGACATCTTGACTCAATTCGCTCATAAAAAATATTAAACTATAACAAAATATTGAATATTTTATTTATATAAAAAATCAAATATTTAATATTTGTAAACTAATTCAAAAGACAATCACCTCATTAGAATCTCACTAAGGATGAACACCTCCTTTGAACAAATCAAAGGATGAAAAACACCTAATTTTCCACCAACACACAAAAGATGAACAACTCCCTAAAATTCCACTAAGGATGAAACAGAGATAGTTTTGAGTCTCTTTAACACTGCTTTAAACCATAAAAAGGGATTAAACAGTAATCACTCAAACCCTAAACAGGGAATTTAACATCAACTTCCCTTAAAATCCTCGGAGGATAAAGGAAATAAAATAAGAACAGTCACACCTGAGAAAACATTCACCAGCTTGCCTAAGATCCTCTTTGTTGGGAACTCCCAAACACCACCCCCAATTTCAAACTCATCCATATCCACCATGAAAAGAAAACGAAAACAAAACCCAGAAAGTTAAATAAAAACAAAAACAAAAGATTTAAAGAGAACAGATAACCCAATACAAGAAAGATTGAAATTTGAAACATTATTTCTATCTCAAGTAAAACTTGAAACTTAAACCAAAATAAAAGGGAAAAATGAAGAAGAATAATCCATAACTTCCTTCACGGTTCCATTAGCGAGCAAATCAGATTGGAGATATTACCCGCAAATTTAAATTTTAGGGTTCACGGTAATTGGGATTTTATAAATTAAACAAAATCTGAATTTTTATATACAAATATACAAATATATTTATATATATTTATATATTTATATATTTATATATATTTATATATTTATATATTTATATATTTATATATTTATATATTTATATATTTATATATTTATATATTTATATATTTATATATTTATATATTTATATATTTATATATTTATATATTTATATATTTATATATTTATATATTTATATATTTTTATATATTTATATATTTATATATTTTTTATATTTATATATATATATATATTTATATATAATTAAATATTTATTTTTTAAAATTATTTAATTTAATAAATTATTATAAATTAATCTAATTATGATTAAATTAAATTATTAAATAAAAAATATTTTATTTTTTAATTAGGTGAATAATTAAATTATATTATATAATTTTACCGACGGATATATCTCGTTGGTAAATAATTGTTAATTTACCGACGGATATATCTCGTCGGTAATTAATTGTTAATTTATCGACGGATATATCCGTCGGTAAATTCATTTATAAATTACCGACGGATTTATCAACGGATATATCTGTCGGTGACATCAAATTTCACAAGTATTTTATATCCGTTGGTAATGATTATTTTCCGACGGCTACAAATCGGTTGGTAAATATCCGTCGGTAATACGCTATTTTCTTGTAGTGTATGGGCGGCTCTAATACCAATTGTTGGAAAACTAATAATTATAATCCTTGATTCTAACTATCAAATATAAACATTATCTCATACTCGATAATCATGTTATAAATTGAATGCGAAAACGTACCAAAATTAGTTATAATGATGATGTCTTTGTAGAACATTATATTAATCTTATGGTCTTTACACAATTTTATTTTTATGACATATATCTTTAGTCAAATTTTTTAATTTAGTCATATTACTTTATTATTTGGTTTAATAAATAATAACTCTAAATATATATATATATATATATATATATATATATATATATATATATATATATATATATTATATTCGTGTAATAGATCACGTTTTGAGTGACAAAACAAATGCATCATGTTTTCGGATTACTTTATTAACTAAAGTTTATCGTTGATCATGGCAAATCTACTACATGAGTAGGTGAATCTTTCAGACCTAATGCGATCGATATAAAACCATATGTAATATTATTTTATTTATATAAAACCATATGTAATATTATTTTATTTAAAGATACTCCATCGATCGGTGTGGACCCTGCAGCACCTGCAAAATTTCGGTCCTTTTGCGTAGTGCTAAAATAATTGCACCGACTGCAACGAACCCATTCCCAGAAATTATTTTAATAGTAGCATTATTCAGTATAACAAATTAGAAACTTTAAAGAATTTAAATTGATTATAAGACTACATACAGACATTTCGTTTGTGAATTTTTGGATAATTTATTTTCCTCCACTTTGAATCACTTTATTTTCTCTACTTATTCCTGACATTATTATATATGACACACATGAATTGCTCCAAAGTTCAATAATTGAAGTTTTTTTGATAAGGATGTATAAGAAGTATAAATGAAGGATTGATGATTGAAGGTAGAGAGAGATAGGTGAGGAGAGAAGAGAAGAGAAGAGAGATAGATGGGAGAAATAGAAAGAGAGAGTGTGTTGCCAAGGGAGAAGGAAGAAGAGGAAGCGTCGGTGGATATGTGGAAGTACATATTTGGATTTGTGGAACTGGGAGTGGTGAAATGTGCGATAGAGCTAGGGATTGCTGAAGCCATAGAAAAGCATGGAGGTCCGATGAGCGTGTCGGAGATATCATCAACCCTAGGGTGTGACCCTTGGCTTCTTAGGCGCATAATGAGGTTCCTGGCACACAGAAAGATATTCAAAGCCATACCCATGGGCAGCAGCAACGGGTATTCTCAAACACCTCTGTCTCGGCGTTTGATGAGAGAGGGTGAACATAGCATGGCTGCTTTTATTTTGCTGGAGAGTAGTCCTGTAATGCTCGCACCTTGGCACAGTCTAAGCGCTCGCGTCTTGGCCAATGGCCATCCCTCATTTCAAAAGGCTCATGGTGAGGACGTGTGGCGCTATGCTGCGACAAATCTTGACCACAGCAACCTCATCAATGAAGCAATGGCATGCGATGCTAAGCTTGTTATGCCTGTCATCATTGAAACTTGCAGCGAGGCATTTGATGGTCTCAAGTCCTTGGTGGATGTGGGTGGGGGCAATGGCACCTCCATGCGCATCGTCCTTCAGGCTTGCCCTTCCATTCGACCCATCAATTTCGATCTTCCTCATGTCATTTCCCAGGCCCCTCACTCGGATGGCCTCCAACACGTCCCGGGCGACATGTTTCAAAGTGTTCCTAAAGCTGATGCTGCTTTTCTCAAGGTAAGTACGTTGTCCATGCATATGTATCCGTGCCTCAGATTGTATAATTCTTATACTAATAGAACGAAATGCAGTGGGTTTTGCACGATTGGTCAGACGAAGAGTGCATCCAAATCTTAAAGAATTGTAGGGCAGTGATCTCAAAGGAAAATGGAAGGGTTATTATCGTGGAGGCGGTGATTGAAGAAGAAGAAGTACAAGAAGGGAAGCCGAAGGTACTGAACGACGTAGGATTGATGCTGGACATGGTAATGATGGCGCACACTAACTTTGGGAAAGAGAGGACCCGAAAGGAGTGGGAATATGTGATAAAAATGGCAGGATTTAGCTCATACACTGTCAAATCCATTCATGCTGTACAGTCTGTCATTTTGGCTTTCTACTAAAGTATCAACTTTCCCACCAAATAAAATGCATTGTCATTCATTAAATAAAACATTTCCTATGTATGATTTCTATTGCATCTGTAAGACACTGTTACAAAGTATCTTATTAATCTTTTCTCTCTTCTCTACACGCACAATGCTCAATTTAAATTTACAAATTTGTTATCAGAAAAAAAAAATGGAGTCTTATATATATACACTAATATGAAAAAATATTATGACGACTTAATGGTTGTCATCTCATAGCAGCAGGTAACAATTTTATAAATAAGATAAACTTATTAGTTAGGATTTGAACTAACTTATATTTAGATTAAAAATAATTTTTTGTTTTACATTCACGCTATACTCATCCTCTCTTCTTGTGATGTCACCACCTTAATGGTCTTCTTTTATCTTCCATAACTTTCTCCTTGTTGTGTCTACACTACTACGATGAAGGATAATAGTTTGGAGGTTGCATAAAAAATGACCAAATTACAACCAATCCTTTCTATTTAGACAATATAATGACCAAATTACAACCAATCCTTTCTACTTAGACAATATTACGCTAAAAAATCTTTTCTACTAAAACAATCCCCTAAATCATCAACTATTTTCGTTAACAGTAACTCGCGGTGGGTGATATACACATCCAACTCAGTCCATTTTTTATACTAAACATCTATAATACATAGATAAGAATTAAATTCGTATTCGTGGGACCGATCCGTTCCTATATAGGAAAAATTTGAGTTGGCCGGAGCGGAGACCGGTTCGGATTTTCTCCGCTTTAAAAAGTCGGGACGAGACGGGAATGGGTAATGCAATTCTCACCCCGACCCCGTCTCCGTCCCGACTTTATATATAAATTTTAAATATTAATATTTTAAATGTATTTTTTTTTCTATTACATATAAAGGTTATTTTTTTAATATTTCACCAATTTTTATTTTTCTTCTACCCACTTTTAATTTTTGTGTCTTTTTTAATCTTTTATATAAATTAATTTATTACATTATTCTCTCTTACCTTTCTGTTTTTTATATTTCCTTGATATCTCCCATCAATTTTTTTTTAATCTTTTTAATCAATTTGATGAACACAAAGTAATTTTTTTCTTTATCTTTTTCTAAATATTTTACATAAATTCTAGTAGAAACTAATATTATTTTATTTATAATTTATATTTATTAGGTTTTATTATGTCATATTTTTTTATCTTATTATTCTTATTTATCATATATCAAATTTTATTTTAATAAAATAATTATATTTTAAAAGATTAAAAGAAATTGATAATTTAAATTTTTATTACTTTGAAATAATTAAATAAGAATTAACTTATTAAATATTTTATTATAAACTATATATTTCATATTTTTAAATGACAACTTAAAAATGAATTAACTTTATATATATATATATATATATATATAAAATTAAATGTTTGAATATAGTATTATAATAATAATAATGTTATAAGTATTCAAATATTTGAATAGTATAATAATAATAATAATATTATTATTATTATAAATATTCTCTTTATATATATATAAATAAAAAATAATTAAATATTTTTTTACATACATATTTTAATATAAATATAATAAATTAAATTTTATATTTAATTAATAATAATTATAAATTATAAAATTATAAATATTTATTTTTATATAAAATATACATAATAAAATTAATTTATTATAAATATAATTATCTTTTAAAAAGTAATATAGATCGAAGACGGGACGGGATGGGAACCCAAAATCCAGCAAGGACGAGGATGAGAACTTAATTTTTAACTCCAATAAGGATGGTTAAAAAATCGGAAGCTAAAATTAGGGAGGCAAAACCCACCTCCACCCGGTTGTCATGCCTAATACATTTAGGTTTAACCATTAGACTCATAAAAAATTGAGTTGAAGGGAACAAAGTTGAAGTTTGTGAGCTTTAAAAGATCAGAACGGGTGGGATATCTAACAGATAAAAATCTCGTTTATATTTAATTTTATATTTAAATTTAAATATTAGAATATTAATATTTTAAAAATATTTTTATTTATTTTATATATACAATATTTTTTTTTATATTTTATCATTTTTATTTTTTATTGTATATTTTTTATTCTTTTATTTTTTTAATCTCACCGTTTGATTACATTATTTTATTTTTCTTATTTTTTTGTTTTTTATATTTTTTAAATTTCTTTAATAAATTTCACAAATATAAAATTAAATTTTTTATATATATTTTTTAAAATATTCTAGATAATTTTAATAATAACTAATATTATTTTATTTTTAATTTATCTTTACTATATTTTATTTTATTATATTTTTTAAATTTTATTAATTCTAATAATTATATATCAAATTTTATTTTAATAAAATAATTATATTTAAAGATTAAAAAAATTGATAATTAATTTTTTATTACTTTAAATTAATTAAGTAAAAATTAATCATTAAATATTTTTTATAAATTATATATTTTATATTTATAAATATTTTAAAATAATAACTTAAAAAATAATTAATATATATAATCAAATGTTTAAATATAACATTATAATAATAATATAAGTATTTTATATTTATATAAAAATAATAATAATTAAACATTTTTTACAAATATATTTTAATATAAATATAATAAATTAAAATATATATTTAATTAATAATAATTAAAAATTATTAAATTATAAATATTTATTTTTATAAAAAATATATTAAAAATATTAAAAATAATTTATTATAAATATAACTAATTTTTTTTAATTAATATAAAATAGAGATGGATCATAGAAAGAAAAAAACCCTAAACAGAAGAAAATAAAATCTTAATTTATAATCCTAACACATATCAAGGTAAAAATGGTTAAAAAAATCAGGAAAAAGATTGAGAAGGCAAAATCCAACAGCCTGTCGCGAAGCCTAAATACATTTTCATACCTAAAATTATTCATTGTTTGTCACTTTTAAAATTTTCTTCAACATAAACATGTTTCTGTCTTTTTATATTTCAATGAGAAAAACAATTGCATTAAATAAACATGTACGTCAAGAGAGAGCATTAAATAATTACTGACTAAATTAAATAACGAAATTGAACAGATGCCGGGCGATGGCAATCAGTGAAATTTGCTTTGAGAGTTTTGACTTTTGATTGTATGACATCGCATTGTACATTAACATCTCATCACATGTCTAAAAAATGGTATACAATATCCTGTAATTGCTTTTACACTCATCCGCAATGATTTATCTCCCTTCCTCTCATAAATTTAGTAAATCTCTATATCTACCTAGAATATGAATTCTTTCTTATAAAGTAGACGTTCCACTCAAACTTTTTCGTAAAATAAAATGTATGCCTCACAGCGAAGAACTTCATCAAGGGACACTTCACGCACATATGCATCACTTGCCTGATACCACGTGAAACCCTCATTTTCCTTATCATCCTTCCCCCTGTTCCTCTGCCCCCCTCTCACATAGGCAACATAGTGACCCCCTCTCATAGTTCCCGAATGCTCCACTAAACCAACCAAGTGGTATTCATACTTCTCGTCAATTGTGCACCTGCTTTAATAGAATTGGGAGTGAATTACAAGCCAGTATATCAATAAAGTGCTAAAGAAAATAACAAACTAGACTTCCAATCAAAACTGAATCTACAAGTCCAAACTATTTGCAAATACAATGAAGTGAAATTGTGTCCAGAATATTTCTTGTGACAAAATTTAAAAGACAATTCATAACACTTAAAAGAATTAAAAAAACAAAAACAAAACTGAATCAGATACATGTAGACACACATCTATAAAACATCAATTCCAACAGATATATCTAATTTTCAAAATACAGAATACTGGGTTGCAATATATATATATATATATATATACACACACACACACCTAAAAATAGTTTAAAAACTTTACAATTTTCATATGACAATGACCGTTACAAAAAAATACTTAAAAAGTGGGATCAAACTACATAAGGGTAAAGGACCAAAAACATAGACGTCTGGTGACCACGATGCTAGAGGGGCATCACCAACAACAGATGCCAAAAACCATTTGGCAACAACCAAGATAGTGAAGGACAACAGCAACCACCACGATAGGGTAGAGTAGCTACTGACAAACAAGACAAAACAGGGTTTTGTGTACAAAGACATTTGCTTTCAATGGAAGAAAGGGTTTTCTGCTTCATAATGTTTTAAACGATTTCAATTTCTAAATAATTGTTTAATATGTAAAATATTATTTGATAGGAGTGCATTAGTGTCTAGTCAAGAGTAGGTGTTGCCACACTCTCTTGGTCAGTATCCAAGAGGTGTCTAAGCCTAAAATAAATTATTTTTTAATTGTGACAGATGAAGGGGAGTTTGACACATGTTTACGGCATGTCGGACGTGCTGACATGCCATTCTGAAGAGCTAGCGATGCGCACTTATTAATTGTTAAAACTTCAAACAGGATCTAGGAAAGTAAAAAATTACCTGGGATCAATATATGGTCTAATATCCATTGTTTCTCTGAAATTGACATGGCCATTTAATTTACTTAAGCGACCACGGGCATCTTGGCTGAATCTCTTTAGATGAATGGTCAAGACAGGCGGAGCTTTATATATGAGGACCCTCTTAGTGGCATCCCTCTTCACTTTCACACTTTTGCAGTCGGCATCCTCTGAGTCATTGTTTTCATTACCTATCATCCGAGAATGTCTTTTTTGAAAATTTTCTGTAATACAAGAATCAGCAACTAAATGAATGCAGCTTTCTTCACCGTAAGCATTATGAAAACTTGAAGATTGTAACTCATCATTATGAGTATCTTCCATTTCAAATGTGCCACTATTCCTTTCATTAAGGATTAAACTAAGCTCATCTCTTTGACCATTTTCAAGCTTTGTGTCATGTGTATCTTGTAAGACCAAACTTTCTATTTTTTGGTCATTTTGTATGTTCCCATTTCCATTGGTTCTGACATTAACAGAACAAGAATTAACTGCATGCCATGGTTCATCACGAATTCCAGATTCATTTCCACCAGATACAGCTCTTGCCTTCTTTTTTTCTTCCAAATTTTGACGGTGGAGAACTTTAGAACAGTTCTCACAATGCCAAGCATTTTCATCCGAGAGAAGCTCAGGTTTTATAAAATGTGCCAAGCAACTCTCTATAGAGACAGGAGAGTATGTGTCATCTACTTCATCTGGATCAGACTCACTGTTACTTCCAATGACAAGACTAGCTTCCATGACCTCACTGCATGAAGATGGTCTGGGAGCAGGTCCAGCAACTTCAGGCTCATTGAATAAGTCACCAAAGCCATCAAACTCCAATTCTTGATAACCACCCAAAACCAATGAGGAGGCCTCACTATCTCCTCCTATGATCTCAGCAGCTGAGGAACTTCCTTCTTTGTATTGAAGTAATAGCACTTCTGAATCTTGAACTTGTAATGGAACCTCATCTTCCCACCCATTTGCTGACGAAAATTTGGGTCCTGGGTTCTGACCCTCCTTAGGGAAACAAGCAGGACCACTGGATTCACAGCTAGCCTGTTCATGGAATTCATTTAAATATTCATCTTTGATCTGAGTATCCCGTACCTCTGGATCATCCTCCTTTTGGGAAATAAAACCACACTCATCTATCATTGTTCCAGTTTCCACATAATCCAACCATGTAAAATCATCTGACGTTTTATTGTCAAGCACTTCCATATGTTGAGCAGTAACCAAATTAGGTAAAGACAAATCCTCTTTATCAGTCACACTGTCTATCTCTTCAGAACCTAATAATGTGGAATCACCAGAACAAGTCCCCATTTCTCCAGCAGCTGATATGACGGATTGATCAGGGCTAGATGATTCGTGGCTGGATAATTGGTTTGATAGAGTTTGAACAGGTAAGGGATCAGTATCCCTGTTAACTTTGACTCGAGTTTTTCCAACCTTTTTTGGTGGAAGTTTAGCTTTTTTGGTTCGAGGTAATTGTTGGGCCTTCCGAGGTGGAGGTTTCTTGGTTGGGACAGAAAGTGAAAGATCTAAAAAAGGTTCATACACTGTTGAGAAATGCCCACATTCTATGCAACACACAGTACTTGATATCTGACCCCCAAATAAAGCATCCACTAAAGTATTGGAAGAGGTGCCATCTCTCTTCGGAGAACCATTCTGCTTTCTTCCAGCTAGTTCTTCAGTATTTAACCCATCCAGTAAACAACGGAGCAATTCGTGACTGTCATGCTGCTGATATCCTCGAAATTGGGGAGACTTAGAACAGACACAGCCAAAAAAAGATCTAGGATTTATAACATTTTTCAATCCTGATTCAGGGTTTGTTTCGGTGAAAAGCTTCTTCAAGGAACTAATAAGTGGTCCAACAGGAGCATCTAATTCTAGAAAGCTGTCCCGCAATCTATTCATGGCTAGCAAATTTTGCATGACTGAATTGAAGAAACAGGTATTCCCAAGATTAATCATACCTCTAACTACATAACCACCTTGTCCAGACGAATCATTTGAGAACAGAGCTCTTGACTTAATTTCGGAAGTAATACTGCTATCCCCAGCCAAAACATCTTCAATATCCGCTGAATATTTTTCTTGTGATCGTCCTTTCAACAATTTCACAACATCAGATAGAAGATGACTCGATTCATCAGTTTTTTCAATTTTATCAACTTGAATAAGCATGTCGCAAGGAAAACACCAACACAGTTGAGGCTTATCAAAATGAACCACCAAGGGGTGCCGATTTTTCCTCGCATGCACCACCGCATGGCAGTGCGGGATTATTGGTAGCCCTAAGCCTCCACAGGTAAATTGACCACACTCCAAACAAACCCATATAGACTTTGACTCGGATTTTGAATCTAATGATGCACCACCTTTCTTCTTCCCATGTTTACCTTTTCCTTTACCACTCCTTCTATCAGACGCACCTTCCCTACAATCCTCGCACCTTAAGGATCCACAAGATTCAATCTTAGTGGACAATCTGTTTAAATTAACACCTTTTACAAAATGAGGGCAAGAACTAGTCTCTTTTACAACCAAATCCCCCTCATCAACAGACTCGACAGTCGGGTTGGTTGATTCAATAACCTTTTTTGGCAAATGGGTAGCAACCACCTTCTCCTTGGCAGAACCTCGACTCTTCTTTCTGACTTTCTTCCCCATTCAGTTCCTGTAATAGAAACAAAACAATGAGTGCAACGAGCATACAACAGACAGGAAAACAGATATCCAGCCCCTATTAAATTAAATAACAGCATATGTTACCCATTATTCACATGCAAATACATCCAGGGAAAAAGGTCCAAAAGGGGGACGACAAAATAGAGAATTTCAGGTGTGTTAAAAATGTAAAGACAGCAAAAGAATGCAATGCAAATGTTTAGGTTTACTAGTATGCAAAGAACACAAGAATCAAATAGAAGTTATTCGAAAATGAGAGGGATGAAGCAAAAGGTGGTTGGGACGCGAGTGGAATGATAAAGAGATGCAGAAACTGGAAGCATCAGATCTAGATTAGGGGGGGAGAAAGATAGTGTTATTGAAAGGAAATATGAATCGATGAATCGTGAAAAAAAAAAAAAAAAAAAGAATATCAAAGTGAGTACCTGCGAGTAAGTGGAAGGGAGACGAAAAGGGGTGTAAGCTTGGGTTGGTGAATAAAGGCGAGTGAGTGAGTGAGTATGTAAATAGATAGATAAATCAAAGAAGAGAATATAAAAATTCAAGAAGAAGGAGGAGGAAGAGTAACTGTGTGGTCAGTGCTGTTAGAATGCCTCTGACGAGAGACGTGCGAGGTTTGGTTTGGTTCCAGTCCAGACGGGGTCACTACCCGATCCGCCCCTTTTTTGAGAACACAACACCAAACAAAAATACCCTAATTTCCATTTCACCCCTATCACTCTATTTCCTTTACTTCTTGTATCATTATATCCCACAAACACAACACCCTTCTTTATTAATATTATATTCGAATAAAATTAATTAAAAATTATTATACTAGATTGTTTGGGTAAGAAAAGTATTGTATTACTATCTTTTTCCATTTCCTTTTCTGGTACTAAATTAAATAACTGTTTCAATTCCTTCACATTGAAAGTAAATAAAATCCTTGTACATACATATGTAAGGAAAAAAATCTTTACAACTAAAATAATTTAAAAAACAAATCAATGCATACTCATAGATATAAGTTAACATCAAAAATATTTATAGCTACTTCTCAAACAGGTACCTAGCCAGTAATGATATGAATTTATTTTTCATAAAAAGGTAGCAACTATCTATTAGAATTATGAGATTTCCAATTTATTTTAGTCTTTGAAATCATAAAAAGAAAATACATTGTCATTAACAAAAATATATTTTGATTGAAATGCTTTTATAATATACTTGTTATCATGTAAATTTTTATCTTTTTATAATAACTCGGTTAAAATAATTCTAAATCCTCACCCTTAAATTCTAAACATTAAATCATCGAATTAAGTTAGTAATTTTAGATCATCTTCTTTCGAGACATGTCAACGAGGGTGTCTAACTCCTACCTTTAACTTTTTTTAATTATCTTATAAACAAAATTTCAATTCTTTTTTTTTATTGAATTTTGATTTTTTTTAATTTTAATCCAACTGCATTCTATATTATTTTAAAAAAATTATATTTATAATAAATTAATTTTAATATTTTTATCTATTATTTTTTACACATAAATAAATATTTATAATTTATAATTATTATGATTATTAATTAAATATATTTTTTAATTTATATAATAAATTAAAATATTAATGTAAAAAAATATTTAATTTTTTATGAATATAAAATAATTATAATTTTATTATTATATAACACTACATTTAAACTTTTGTTTATAAGTTATTTATTTTTAAGTTATCATTTTAAAATATTGATAAATATAAAATATATAATTTATAAGAAAATATTAAATAAATTAATTTTTATTTAATTAGTGTAAAGTAATAATTTTTTTAATTATTAATTATTGTTAATTCTTTGAAATATATTTATTTAATTAAGATAAACTTTGATATATGATAATTAAGAAATAATATTTAATTATCTTTATTGTATTTAATTAAATAACATTAAGGGAAAATAATATTTTTCATAAATAATTTTAAATCAATTTTCACAATTTCAATTAAGTATTTAATTTTTTAGAGTCAAATTTAAAATTTAGTTAAAGTTGTTTATGCTATTTTCTAAGAATTATTTAATGTGGAACAAAATTAAAGAATTTTATAAAAATAATACATTACTACGTGCAACCGAAAAATTATGGAATTTTTTAAAATATTTTCGACCCACCAAATATATGTTAGTCATTTATACTTCCATACTAAATAAAGAAATTGATTTTTTAATTATTTTATTAGTGTATTTTTTATTTTACATTTTATATAACTTTTATTAATTTTTGTGAATGAATTTATTTTGAATATTTTAATAACAATTTTTATTTAAATGAAATAATTTTTATACACAAACAAAATTAATTTTGTTTTCAATATATCGAAATGATGAAAATCCTTTTTCCCTCCAATATATAAAAAGTTATTAAATCTTCTAAGCTTGATGAAAAACTAGAAAAAATTATTCTCATTTATGACATTAGGGGAGAAGACAAGAAAATATACAAATTCATTTTTTCCAAACTTAGACGGATAACTAGTTATTCCCGTTTGTGATCTTAGAAAATAAAAACAAGCAAAAATATGTAAATTCATTCTTATTCAATAAAAAACGAGTTTCCAATAGAAAAGAAAGAGGTTTTATTTATAAATACATAACCCCTGCATTTGGTGATAGAAGCTATGAGACTTCAAATATAGTGACTAAAATTTGGCTTGTCCTATTGACGCGAGACTTCATGCTTCATGCGACTTTCTTCATAACTGAGATGATTTTTTTTTCTTTCTCTTTTATCGGTTGGTTCAATTGAGACCCAACTCTTATCCACATGTATTTACAAAATTCTACAAAAATACACGAAAAATATACAACTATGAAATTTGTACAAGTGTGCACTCCAAATCGATGTAAAGGTCCAAATGTGTTATTTCCCAAGCAATTAATAATGCTTGTTAGATATTTTTTCCTTTTATCTCTCTCTTTTTCTAACATCATATCTCCTACAAATTTTGTCATCTTTTTCTTTGATTTGTTTAAAGACAGAAAATTAGAAAGAACGTGGAATATGAACGAAACACGGAAATTATTGGGATGGTCCCTGGAAAATTCTTGGACATTATCAAGTTATGCCGTTGGAAACCAGATATATTGTCTTTGGGGCATGCGGCCATATGATCCTATTGAGTACTTTGATAAACACTTTTCATGGAAGACGGAGATTGCGTTCGAGGGAAACTGATAAAAGTACGTTGCTCAAAATTGGAGGTATGGTTGATTTGGTGAATCGATCCATGAAAGGTAGCAACAACCAAAAGTAACGGTTGATCAAGTATATCATGGATGTTTGGTTAGGATGTGTGCGGCATATTTTACTTGACGAATGGTCTAAATACCCTGTTTTATTTGTTTGGCCTTACAACTGAGGTGTCTATCAGTGATGTTGAGACACAAGGACAAAGATTGCAAGGTCATTCATTCTAAGATAATGTCTAAGAGCTACGGCGATCAAATGTGTATTCTCACAGACAACAGGAGCAACTTGTGTGGATACTGGCTGTTTATCGTGAGAATTTAAATTGCCCACAGTATGTTCTCATTCTTCCTTGGTATTGGAAAAAAGAATAATCAGGTATTTGTGCACCTGGGTTCCAGGGTTAATGAAAACATCCAAAACTTAACATCAGTATTTAATGACAACCAAGAAAAAAAAAATAATATAAAATATTAGCAATGCATATATCAACATCCAACTAAGAACTAGATGAAAATAGTAATAAAATTCAAAATCAAAATGGGGCTAGACTCGTCTACTCCGATGTTTAGTTCAAGCAACAAACATCTCTAATCTATAAAACCACAAATCAAAATCCACTCCACTGTATTAGAGAGTTCAGACAACAAGAAACAGAAGTGATAAGCCCAATATCGTGACAAGATCCAGCATCTAATAGTCTAAGGTATATCTTTTATTCTCTTTCTCACTGACTGGGGGACCTACCACGGGCTGGTTCCCTAACATCACGGTCCGGACTTGGACTTCTGCTCCGACCTGGGCCCTTTGCAGGACTCTTACTTCGGCTCCTGGAGCCCCCATTATAAGGTGGAGTGCGTGAGTATGACCTCTCCCTACTATGCTGCGAATAGGATCTTTCTCGACTGTACCCTCTATCCTCAGGAGAGGCAGATCTACAAAAAAGGCCATGCATCAAACAAGCGCAAAATTGACTTTAAATCGCTAGTCTTTACAACACAGAATAGATGGATATTGCAACTTCGACCTTATCGACAAAAGCCTTAGCAAACTTCAACCACATTTTTTTGCCAGAAATAATCACATCCATAACTTAGTCCATGGCACAACCTCACACAAATACACAAAGTACAGTGCAATGGCCTAAATTACAACCATTTAACACCTGCTCCGTATATTAGATAAATAAGAACTAAATAAAAAGAATCCACATGCTTTACATGCAGTACAAATAGAAAGTGATCAATTATTACAGGCAAATACCTAGAATAGTCCCTTCGTTTAGGAGGAGGGGAATAATAGTCACGACTGCGAGAACGAGATCTATGGCGTGGTGGTGGAGATCGAGAATAGCGGGGAGAACGAGAGTAACGAGGAGGAGACCTCCTACGATCATAGAACCGACCCCTGAAGAGACATAAAAAATAGCCGATCAGTACTTCACCTGACCTATTAGCTGCAAATATGCAGAAACCGAAAAGTTGGCAGAAGGAAAATGAAGCTCAACACTATGTTTTAGTAGATAACTTAAGGGACCATTTAATATACGAGAAATTTATTCTTACCGGAAACCATTATTCTTGAAAATAGTGAACCCAGATAATTATGAATAAAGGGAAATATGATTTCTAGGAATGCCTAAAAAATGTTTAGTTGATAAAATGTATTACAGGGAATATTCACAAAAAGAAAAAATCTTCTATGCTATTTTTTCTAATGTTAATAGTTTTTTTACCACAACAAATTCTTTAACAAGAATAATACGGTACTTTTCCAAATAAGAAAAAGTTAGATTTTCACCTCCCATAGCAATGTTTTTGAGGGAAAACTTGACGAACAAGTATTCTTAGGATTTCCTGAGAATGTTATTTTTAAGGGGCAAACAATAGTGAGAAATATGCTTTCCCAACCTCAGATTCCAAGGAAACTAAAAATTTCCTCCAATACCCCCCCCCCCCCCCAAGAGCAAACAAGGGTATTTTAATGGCTCAGTCAAATGACTTTTAGAAAATGGTAAGTTAGAATAGGTGTATGTTTGGTAGGGATTAATTACAGGGAAACAATAAATATATTTTTATTCAAAATAGCTTAAGGGAAAGGGTAAAAATGCAAACATTACTGGCTAAACTTGAAAGGAAATAAAAGAACAGCAGCATCAACAATATTGAAAAATTTCCCAGACAGCAAATTTCTAGGGATGTAATTCACATGTTGGCTTTAAACTAATATTTAACAAATTAGAAGAGTCTTATGAAATTTTATTATAAATAAAAACATTTAAGGCCTACATGCTGACAGAACCTAATCAGCGTTCGGATTAACAGTGATTCTGTGCAGAAGAAATTAAGTGAAAGTGAAATTCATAGTTGGCAACAAAAGTAGGTAAAGAGAAAAATTATAGCACCTTCTCTCTCTTGACCTCATCTCATTTGGCTTCTTTCTATTCTCCTCAGCAAATACAACAGTGAGCTCCCGACCAAGAAGAATTTGACCATCCATATGATATTTAGCATCAGCTGCATCAGCAGGATCCACGTATTGGACAAAACCAAAACCACGAGGTTCTCTGCAGATAGAAGGAAATGCGAAAGCACAATCATAACTGGTATTGGTAGAATCCGATAATTGGTAATGAGAAGAGTGCACATTTTAGGTGGAAAATAGGCCCCAATGATATGGATAATAAAGCAAGCAAGCACTAGGCTGCTGACCTTTGTGTCAGTTTAAAGATGAGTGGAAAATCTTCAAGACTTGGAACATCTTCATAATGTAATGAAAGTGAAGTAGCTTGAACTCTTGACTACCAATAACATCTTCTACTTACTTGATTGATTGATGTCTTCAAAACTCTAAATCACTGCTAAACCTAAGAAGGTGGCTATTACAATAGTAGAAGTCTCAAATAAAAGACCCTAATCGAAAGTGTGTATTGTTTCAAAGATGATAGTGGATGCAGAGTAGAGTAGAAGGAGGAGAGAAAAAGAGGAGAAGAGAAGGGGAGTGACTCACCCAGTGTAGTAATCCTTAGGCAGGTAAATGTCTTTGAGAGGACCGAATTGACCAAAAGGTCTGCGAAGATCCTCGGGCCTGCAAAACGTTGGTTGGTTGGATCATGGATTAGGTTGGAAATTAGAATGAAAATGAAGGTAAAATAAAAAAGGGAAAGAGACGCGCCTGCAGTCGTGGCGAAGGTTACGGACAAGAAGGCTGGTAGGGAGATCTTGTTGCCTGGGACGGGGAGGGTAGCGGCCTCTAGGGCTGGGACTCCTCCCTCCGCCTCTTCTGCCATAACGCGGAGGCGAAGGACTGTAGCTCCTTCCTCTCATCTCTCGTATTTTCTTTTTTCTTCTCTTTTCTTCTCTTGTGCCCGCAATGCACTCAATTGAGATAACAATCACAGCAAATACCTTTCTCTACTCCTGCTCCTGATCTTCTAAAGCTTTTTCATTCCTTTCCTAAACCTAATAATCTAACAATAATTATCTCCTCTGTTCTTCGCCTCCGCCGCCCCGCCTCATAACTCATATCCTTTCCTATTCCTAGGGTTTACCTATCATTCTGCTACGGCCCATGCTCTCTCCTCGGCCCAACCTTCTGGCCCATTTCACCCAACTTTTTTTTTTTTTCTTACAACCCTAACAATAATAACCAATCATCCACCCCCTAAAAATAATAAACCTTTATTCCCAGCCATTCAATTTCCCCTCCTTTTCATTTTGATTGTATCTCCCCTTAACTTTATTGTTTGTGCAACATTTTTTCTTTATCTCTTTCTTTTAATCTATAGCTACAGTAAGATCATAAAAAATATTTTTAATCAATGGGTTAAGGATTTTAAATTTAATATATAAATCTTAGCTGACAAAGGCAATGGCGAATGGTTGATATTGTTGGGGTCAATCATTCTCACTTGTATTGCATTGCATTGCATTGTTCTTGAATGAATACAAACAAAAAGTGAAAGGGTTAGCTCCATGAATGTATTATCACAGAACATTACAGTGAAACATATATTAATTATGAGGTGATTGAGGCAGAGAATGGAACGGTGCAAATAATTAAAGGGAGCAGAAGAAATAATATAATGAACCCCATGAAAATTACAATAATATAATGTAGTTAGTTAGTATTAAAGAAAAGACGAGAGGATACATGGAATAACATAAGTTGAGGTTTATGCCTTGCGTTGCGTGGGTTTGGAGTTGTGAATTGTCCGCTAGCTGCATCTGTTAGGAACTTGGAAAAAGGGAACTCTGTTTTTCTCTTGTTCTCACATCACACAAGTCGCAACATCATAACTTGAAAGTGCCATCGAGCCAAGAAGAGGATAAGCTAGTTCTAGTTAGTTTACTTTGATCTCCTTCTATCATTACCAAATCAAATCCAATCCTATCATAAACACATTCTCTCCCCATTTCTGCCTTCTTCAATATCTTCAGGTATTTTTATCCTTTCCATACCAGCAAAGCAATGAATATGAAGATGGCATTCATTTGTGCATGTTGCATAGATAGATACTACATCTGCTGAATACTCAATCGATACTATCTCTTCGTCACATGCACTTCTGCCTCAGATAAGTTTGCCTTGGCTCGTGCATTTAATCCGAGCTATCTGATTGTCAGATTATTCGATTTTTAATATACTTTCGTGTTCTCCTTAGATGAATATATACACTAGACTCTTATCTGAAAACAACAACAATAACTTGCTCGAAATAGAATCCTTTTGCGCATTAGGACATTCCTTTATAACTTTTACATGCAATATGAAATGAAAGTTCTTATCAAATCATCGTTTATTTTGCTATTGATTACAATATAATTATTTTTTGTTTGATAAAATCTGTTGAAAAATTATTTAAAAATTATTAATTTCATTTAGATGTAAAAATTCAGCTTTACGCAAAAAACCAAAAAATAGTTATTTGGATTTTCAGTTATACTTTCTACTTTGTTCATTTACTCTCCTCTTTCATGGTACTGCTTCAACCGTATACCTTTCATAAAACATGCATAATATGATATTCAAATTCTGGGGTCTTTTTGCCATTGTCAGGACCAGGGGATGCTGCTTCAGTTTCTACAGATTGTTTTTGTTATCAAATGGGGATCCCTTTTTCATGTCAATCTGCTAAGTGCTGTCGTTTGGAAGATTGCTTGGATTCCATGATTGTAAAATCCATAACTTCGACAATGTCAAAATAAAAAGTGCAGTTCGTTCAGTCAGTTTCAAAAACGGAGATAAAGAACCAACGGTTGTGAAATGTCTACGTTCAGGAAAGATGACAATCGAGGCTTCTGTGAGCTTCAAAAGAAAAGATACGGAGAACCTAATTTCAACTAAGACTCTGCAGCTAGACAAAGAGAAAAACATGACTATGTCAAGGATTACCAAAAGCGGCAAAGTGATGGATGATCAGTCTTCTCCATCAAAGTGTCAAATGGAAAATTTCCAATCAGCACTACAGGATCCAAACTACCGCAGACACATGGCTGCACTTAAACTGCAGAAAGTATATAAAAGCTTTCGGACAAGAAGAAAGCTAACAGATTGTGCAATTCTTATTGCACAAAGCTGGTATTTTATTCACTGTATTAGAACCTCTCTCCTTCTTTACTAAAATTTCCAGAGATTTAAACATGTTTTAACTTTGATCTTCTGGTTAATACATAGGTGGAAGCTCTTAGATTTTACTGAACTCAAACACAGCTGTATATCTTTCTTCAACATTGAGAAGCATGAAACTGCTATTTCACGTTGGTCTAGAGCTAGAATCAGAGCTGCCAAGGTATTTTTTGTATTATGCTACTTTCGAGGTTATGTTTATTTTTAAACTTATTTGTAGTGGTGGTGGTGGTTATCAGAAACACCTTCAATAAAGCACTCTCCCCAAGCTCTAACCTTTTAAATTTAAAGCTGTAAAAAATTATTAACCATTTCTTTGTCATTGGAGGTTGGTAAAGGTTTATCAAAAGATGACAAAGCTCAAAAACTTGCTTTGCAGCACTGGCTGGAAGCGGTTAGTCATACACTGATTATAATAATGCTCTATATACTTGTAAATTGAGATGTCGATCATTCATCAAAAATTATTTGCTGAATTTCTTTTTAATGAGCATCAAACAGATTGATCCACACCATCGGTATGGACATAATCTGGCCTTTTATTATGCTAAATGGCTCAAGTGTCAGAGCAGAGAACCCTTTTTCTACTGGTAACATTCCTTATAAAAATTGGACTTACAATTTAGACTACTATTTCATATAGATCTTAAATCAACAGGGTTAAATTAAGCTGATTCTAGGGAATTCCAGGCTGGATATAGGAGAAGGAAAGGAGGTTAATCATGAGAAGTACCCTCGATCTAAACTTCAGCAGCAGTGTATTAAATATCTGGGTCCGGTAATGTTTCCTTCATTTATGTGAAGATCCTCTCAGACAAATTTACTTGTGCTATCTTTGACTTATATTTCTATTCACTGCTTTCTTCCAGATGGAAAGATTGGCTTATGAAGTTCTTGTGGAGGATGGAAGGTTTTGCTTCAGGCAATCAGGAAAGCTCCTTCACACTGCTAGTGAAGGTGCACATACCAAGTGGATTTTTGTCCTTAGCACATCCAAGATCTTGTATCTCGGCAAGAAGAAGAAAGGTTCATTTCAGCATTCTAGCTTCTTGGCTGGAGGAGCCACATCTTGTGCTGGGAGACTAGTCGTTGATTATGGGGCATTGAAGGTAAAGATCTAGGAAAAGGCATAGTACAGTACATTTTCTGCTGGACTCCTGTTGCAACAAGTGGCTACTATTTGATATGATTAGTTAAATGATTTTGTCGTTTCTTTCATCAGGCAGTTTGGCCTCACAGTGGGCATTATCGTCCTACAGAAGATAATTTCAAGGAATTTATTTCATTTCTTCGGGAGAACGAAGTTCAGCTTTCTGATGTCAAGGTATCAAAACATACGGGCTTTGCATTCTTTTCTGGTGGTTTAGATATGTTTAAACGATATGAGAAAAAAATTCTAACGAAATTCTCGTTGCCATATGCAGATGACTTCAGTTGACGAGGAAGGTCACTCATCCGAAGAGGACTTCGCAGAGAACATGAGTGGCTTGGAGGCCGAAGAGAGGACCAATTTGATGGAAAGTAAAGAGGTTTTCTGCACCAGTGGGACCTAAGACGAGGCAATTCCAGATTTTTGGAAAAGAACTGGCTAGTCTTAAAATACCAAAAATGGGTCATGTGCTTGAAAGATTAGAGAATGGGGAGGGAGAGTAGTCTTGAAATTCCAAATGGATTCTCCAACTGGTGATCAAGAAACGGCACAAGTTTTTACATCAGATCTTGATAACACAATCATAAAGCGAATTTTTTGAGATTACGGTAATGTACGAACTATTCCAAAAAGGCCAATACCTAAAAGGATTGTTTCACAAAATGAAATGAAATCATGCCAACTGGGGAAACAGATATCTTGCAGATGGACAAACTCGTATTGGCTGTGTAAGGGACTACCCTTGCAAGCTTCAGTTCAGAACCTAGGAACAAGTTAGCCTGTCTCCAAGAAGTGGTTGCCACTGTACATCATCCTTCACTCCTAGAGTTTCAACTCCATTCTCAAAAGTACAACCTGAAGTTCTGGCTCCAGCACTTGAGCACGGAACCTCTCTGGTTAGAGGGATATCAGTAGTACCAGTTATTCATCCTTCATGAAATAACAGAATTCCCAGCTTGGCTTATTCTTTTTGTGTAAAAGTACAGGGAAATTTGTCACTCTTTCCCGTATAGGATTTTTTTTTATTCCACTCGTGTAAAATATGGGCTGAAATTTCTTCTTGTAGTGTGTTTGAATAAAAAAAGTTTAAAGGGTAATTAATTTTTATAGAAAATTAAAAATATTCAATCAAAAAAAATTATTTAAGTAGAAAATTGAAATTTTTTAAAAAATTTCAAATTTTATATAAAAAGTAAAAATTTGAAGTTTTTTATAATTTATTTAATGTTTTTCATAATTTTTTCCCTTTTTCTGACTTTTCTCTTAGACTATCTCATCGGCTTGGTTGGCGTATTGTCAACTTACCTGAAATTGAGATGTAATTAAATCTACATCGCTCTTCAATTAATGTTGACAGAAATATTTTTAAGGTGAAATTGGTCATAGTTATTTTTTAATTAATATTTCCATAACTACTTTTTTATCATTACAAACTAAACAAATTCATGAAACAAAATTACCGAATTTGTGAAAGGAACTGCAGAACTTTAGTACTGAATTTAATAATTATTGTCAATAATAATTTTAAGTGATCCCAATGTCATGTAGCAACAATCCATCATTCTAGTCTAAAACCACTGTTGAAATTCCATCGCCACAAGGTTCACCACCGAAGCAATAGCCATCCATTGTTATACCACCAAAGCAGTCACAATATGTCGGGTATTTGTGTAAGATGAATTATAACAGAACTGGAACACAAAAACCAAAAGTTTTGTAATCGGATTTTCTGAACAACGGAGGTGAATATTTCCCCTACTTATGGTAGAAGTCACAAAATCTCTAATACCATGTTAACAAGCATGACAATGCTACAAATTGTAGAGAGGCAATAAAATATCAGAAAACCAGTAAATGGTAATTGATTGAATAAATGATAATGAGTATACAATAAGTTACAATATGCTTTAAATAAAAGAATATTAACTAGTTCTACCAACCAATTTAATCTAACTATCTCTAACAATATCTCCAATACGCAGTGAAACCCTAAACATATGAATAAAATATACCATAACATAAAGGGAATGTATGTATCACATAAAAAAAAAAGTTCCTGCCACCGGATGCATCTATTAGAAATGGGGACAACTTGAAGCATGCCCGAAAGCTGAGGTTCTAACACTTCAAAATTTATAATATCAAAAGAAAAAAAAATCAGATACATTATATTAAATTTATATTATTAAATAATTTAAATATATTTATAATAAAAAATATTTATAATATATATATTATTATTATTATTAATTTATCATAAATAATATTCATTACAATTATTTATTATTATTAAAATAAAACTATATCAATTAAAATAATAATAATAAATAATTATTATCAATTAAAATATATATATATATATATATGAAATTATTATTATTATTATTATTATTATTATTATTATATACTATTACAATTAAAATATATAAATATAATATGAATTAATAATAATTATTATTATTATATTATATATTATTATTAATATGTAAAAAAAACATTACTTATCTCTTTATACAAAAGGAGATAAGTCTTAATTCATCGAAGATTAAAAGTAATAATAATTTAATAAAAGAGATAAATGAAAATATATATATATATATATATATATATATATATATATATATATATATATATATATATATATATATATATATATATATATATATAGAAGTAGGGTGCACTAAAAAAAGGAAGAAGGAAAAAAGAGAGGATCAGAAAAGAGACAAATTTTAGTGTATCATTTGCAATATTGAAGTACGAGGGGAGATTATTATCATTTTATCTATTTTATTTTAATTATAGTTGTGAAGTAAGGTGTCATCAATCTCATTCTATTTGTTATGTTACTTATTTATTTATCTTCAACTACATACTGATATGTTTTATGTTTATTTATTTATTTTCAGTCTTGTACTAGTCTTATTTTAATTATCTCCAGTTACGTATTGGTTCTACCTGATATTATTTATTTATCTCTAGTCCTATATTGATATTATTTTAATTATCTTCAATTACGTACTGATCTTGTCTTATGTTATTTATTTATCTTCAACACTGGTCTTATTTTAATTATTTCCAGTTATTGATCTTACCTTATGTTTATTTATTTAACTCTAGTCCTGATCTTATTTTAATTATCTCTCTAGTTACGTACTAGTCCTGCTTTATATTTATTTATCTTCAGTATCCTATTTTAATTATCTCTGGTACTTGTTTATTAATTCATATTTATATTTTTTAATTATTTTTTAATAATAATATCTATTTGTGAAAAATTAATGATATTGTAGATGGAGGTTGAACCTTGAGGATTGAAATGAGTAGATATTACTAAGAACATGGTTAAAATTGGACTCATTTATCTTAACTACTCACTATAAATTTAATTCAAATCTTCATAATATAGAATATGTTGAGGAAATTTAAAATCATATTTTATATATATCATTATAAGATTGTATTATTTTAAATTATAATTGTTCTCACTTGTCTATTGTGATCTTTTGTGCATGTTATATTTAAGTAGATGAAGACACCAAATATCCAAAATATCTTTTCTGCAAGCATCATTGCGTTCTTTACAGGAACTATTTGAAACACAAACATTATTGACAACTTGATTACTTTTAAAGGGATAGAGTTATCAGTATTAACATTTACATCTGATATGAGAACTCTCATCATGCTAGATGGACCAATAGCGGTCACCTTCTACATATCTCCTACCATTAACCAAAACCCCTTAATCAGTTTGTTTCCACGGGCAATGTAAATATGTGTATAATTGCAATAGAAATAGATGGAATAAAAAATAAATAAAATTCTTTTTTTTTTATATATCCTATAAAAAAAATTAGTAATGTAAATTACTTTTATATATAAAATATCTTTATTTTACTTGCTACCCTTGTAAAAAAAAATGCTACATTAGATGTTATTAGAGCAACGTTTCATGTGTATCCTGTGAAATTAGTCTAACATGAGATCTTATGAATCCTAACTTGTATAATTTCGGATGACAAATAATAGGAGGAACAACGAGTTGACGAAGCGATACAAGTCTGAGGGAACCAACGAATCACAAGGTTTAGTTGAATTTAGGAGAAACAAACTTCTGCAATTCTTTATAGGTTATACCTAGAAAGGGTTGAATTGTGGATTAAAAAATTAGAAACAATATTTGAAGTTATGAATTGTTCTGACAACCAAAAGGTGAATTACGTTGTGTTTATGTTAGTAGGAGAGACTGAATATTGATGAGATAGTACCATAAGATTATTAAATGGCGAAAGAATAATCATTATTTGGGAGGTGTTTAAAACAACATTTTTAGAAAAATATTTTCTCAATAATGTGAGGAAAACAAAAAAAATAGAGTTTATGCAATTAAAATAAGAAGGTATCACAATAGGAGAATATGTCTCTAAGTTTGAAGAGTTAGGGAAATACTCTGCATTCTTCTATCATTCTAATAAATGAAGTGTATAAAATTTGAGAATAGACTTAGTCCTGAATTGAGAAAAGTAGTAGAAATATTAGAATTTTCTAATTTTCATATGCTTATTCATAAATGCATATTTTTGGAAGATTTTGAAAACCAACAAAATAGTAAACCAAAATATTTTAGACCTCAGCAAAATAAAATGAGACAAAATAAAGGAAAACCTTCCAACCACCCCCAATAGAGATCCCAACTCAACCCATTTTCTGTAGGAAATTTTAATAAACTTGTAAATATTCATCTCAAGTGTTTCAAGTGTGGATAAGATCATTATGCTAAAGATTGTCATCTTAAAGGACCTGTCTGTTTTAAGTGTGGAAAACCTGGTCATATATTCTCTGAACGTCAACAACAAAAACTAAATTCTAATCCTTCTGCACCAAAAATAAGACCTCCGACAACAGGAAGAGTGTATAACATGACTGGAATTGAAACCTCTCAAAAAAATAAATTGATCAAAGGTATGTGTTTCATTAAAGAAAAAAAATTTAAATGTATTGTATGATTCAAGCGCAACTCATTCATCCATCTTCAAGGATTGTGTTCAACACCTTGAATTGTCAACTTCTTTTTTAAACATTAGTTTGATTGTTTCAACTCCAATAAATAAGTTTGTAAGTACCAATCAAATTTGTTTAGATTGTCCTTTGTTCATTGAAAATAGGAAATTTCTTGTAATTTTAATTTGTCTACCTTTATCTCAATTGAATGTAATCTTAGGTATGAATTAGTTATCTTTCAATCAAGTCCTTCTGAATTGTGCAGAAAAATCAGTAATATTTTCAAATTCTGAGGATCTTTTGAATTTCTCTACCAACTCAGTAAATGAGTCTTTAAAGAACACATTTCAAGGATATTTGTTACTATTTTCTATGGAAGTAAAAGAGGAAGTCGATTTAAAAAATATAGTCGTTGTTCCAAATTTTCCTAAAGTTTTTCCTAATAATATTCCTAGTTTACCACCCAACAGAGAGATTGAATTTTCAATAGATTTGATACTTGGAATTGGACAAATTTCTATAACACCATGTAGGATGTCACCTTCTGAACTGACAGAACTAGGGATGACAAAACGGGTTAGGCCCGGCAGGGCGGGTTGGTGTTTTCAGCCCACCAACCCACTTTGGCCCGCCTCGCCAAGCCCGCCAACCCATCGGGCCAACCCGCGGACGGGCGGGTCAGCCTGCGGCCGCCTAATTAATAAAAAAATAATTTTTTATTGTAATAAAATTAATTATAAATATAATATATAAAGTTAAAATTTTAAAAAGAGAATTAAAAAAGTTTTATTCTCACGAGAAAATATTTTCCTTCCCGAAACATAATCTTCTCTCCTATTCTCCTTGTTTATCCTAAGCATCGATTATTTTTATCCTTATTACTCGAATTGATGGTGTAAGAATTACTCAACCAA